ATTCACAGGGTTCTTTGAAGAGTGAAGGCTTGCCTCTAAAATGGGACGTCCCTCCCTATTCGCCCTATTGTTATTTCTTGAATCTTGTCAAAATTAACGCCCATGAAGGTCGCTCTTGACCTATGATTTTCGCCGAGCCGCCAGCGCCCGACATAGGAGCACCAGCTTCTGTTGCCTCAACGAACCAAATGCCAAAACGCACGTGCGCCATAGTCAAAAAAATCCTTTTGTGGTCCATGGTGGTGCGCTCCTGGAATAGAGACAGGCCACTCGGGCCCAAAATTTTCCCCAAAATTCAAAAAAGAAGGAGAGAAAGGAGAGGAGAGGTTGTCAACCCAACACCTCGTCCTTGGATCTTTGGCACCTTGTCCCAGAAATCATGTTTGCTTACGTGTCTCTTGTTTAAATCCTGGCCACAATCAAATCCACAACGGGGTAGTACTTCAGCCCCCAATTTGACACTGTTTCAGGGGCCCCCGAAAAAAGTCTTGTTGCCTGGCCCCCTGAAAAATACAACCTGCCCAGTGCAATTGCCTCTTGGCCAGTTAAGTGACAGCCTAGGTGAGGCTAGCAATGCTTCATGCTTTGCAGTTAGACTTGGGCCTGCTCCTCAAATCAAAAATTGTCAGCTTTACGAAGCCCATGTTTTCTTACATGTCTCTTGTTTAAAACTGCCCGCAATCAAACCCACAAAGGGGTACTACTTCAGCCCCCGTTGCCTGGCCCCCCCAAAGAAAAAAGAAAAGAAAGCTCTCCCAATACTGAATCAAATGGAAACTCAGTTCCAAGTCTCAAAAGGAAGCTCCAGCAATACAGTACTATATAAAATGGAAACTCAAGTCTACCAATACTAAATGGAACCTTACTAAATCCAATGGAAACTCAGTTCCAAAACTCAAAAGGAAGCTCTAGCAACACTAAATCAATTAAAAACTCAGTTCCAAGTCTCAAAAGGAAGCCCCAGCAATACTCATTCAAATGGAAACTCAAGTCTACCAATACTAAATCTAACGGAAACTCACTTGAACCGGACCGGATCTCAAGATACTTGTCCAGGTGCCCTTGTTGGGAGCAGGTCCCCCCTTTTACAAATCCCAGGTGGACGTTATGTATGTATATATATATATATGTATATATATAATTGGACGCGTGTTTTGCCACGGGCTCCGCTTTGCCTCGGGAAAACCCAAGTTGTTCGATCCCTCCAAAACCCAATCCAAGGCTCCCGTGGGAGAGGTCGAAGAACATTGGGCCCTGGGTGAGGGAGGTCAGCAGCGCCAGCGTGCGATCACTCTTGGGCGGCACCACCAGGTCCTGCAAACCTAGGAGTCGGGGAAGTCCATCGACAGCCCCAGGGAATCAAAGGAAACGCTCGAAACGTCTCCGATGATGGAAGGAGCTGAAAAAGACAGAGAATGATAAACCCCCAAGAACAGGTGGTGGTCCAGCCACCCCGCACGGTTTGGGTTGGGACCATCCCAAATAAACTTGCTCAAACCCGGCTTGACCCGCTTCTGTTTAGGCCACTTCCACCCACTCCTATTGCTGGGGCTCGGGCCCAGTCGTTCAACCCACTCCTGGCCGCTCGGGGATAGCCGTGGCATACGCAAACCTGCGATTTTCGTGTTCCCATGTAAAACGGGTCGAGATTTAAATTGTGTTTGCTTTCTCTCTTTTTTTTGCCATGCAACAACCCCACTGTTCCATCGTAAGAATCCCCTGCCCCCTGCCCCTACACAAAGGTCGGGCCCTGAACCCTGATTCGACTTTGCGCCGTGGATCCGGCCCAAAGTGCTCAAAAAGCCGACTCACAGGGTCTCACAATGAGAGAGCCCTCAAATATCAAAATGGTTGCCAGAAGTTCGCTAAAAAAAAGATGCCCCCCGCCCCCTTTAAAGCACCGCCACCCACAACCCACAAGGGGCAGTTCGTCACTCCCTCACTAAACTCCCACCGTGTTGCGAATTCAGAGCAGCAAGCAAGCCATGGCCGTGACTGTGGGCCAAGGACCAAGGCTTGACCATTCGGGCCACCTTTGCATGGCTCCCTAGCTCATCAGCTGGGAAACGTTTCCCTTTCCATTTCCCCTAATCAACCCAAAACAAAACTCACTCAGGCCCTCAGACATGATGTTTTTGATGCACACGCGGTTTAAAAAAAAAGGGGGGCGGCGGTACGCGTCTCCTGGACCCGTTCAATCTGCACGCCGGTGGGCTCCACATAGAGCCCGATGCTGTCGAAGAGACCTGAGCACGCCACCTCCCAAGCACTGACCTTCCGGTCGAAGCGCGGGTCCGAGTAGATCAGGTACTCCTCAAAAACCGGTGTGGATTTGAAATTCAGTGTGGATTCATGTCCACCAACCACTTTGACGTGGTTCCCCATTAAACTCCACGGTGGGTGCCCCCAGGATTTTACACTTGGAACCCAAAACCCACCTGTTTGCAGGTCTCATGTCAGTTTTTCACCTACCTTCTCGGAGACCCCCCTTCGGCGGCTTCTCAAAATGGGACACGCCCCCCCCTTGGCTTTCAATGAGCCACACTCAACCAAGGCGCCATGTGAAGCTCGCTGGAGATCACCCCCAGCTGTCGCTTGATCTCCCAAATGGACTCCCCGCTGCCTTTCTGCCGCCCAAAGAGGTGGATGTTCTGCAGGTAGCCCAGCCTACATGCGAGGTCTTGGACAACATTCCTGTGATACTTTGGATGGTCGAAATTCATTTCGCACCAGCTAAGAAACCCTGGACGTATGATTCCCCTGTAAAGTGGCTTCAAAGTGGTGCAGGATTTCGCCCACCCACAGTACCACAATCCACAGGACTACTTGATCACTTCAAAGAGGATCACAGAAAGTGGACAGCAAGCCGCCCTCCAACGATAAATGAGACATGCCTTGTAGAGGCGATTGAAATTTCCGCGTCTTTGCGCCGTCTTAAATAAGCTAGCCTGTAACAGCGTGTGGCGTGGCAGCGGCATGGCGTGGCAGCGGCATGCCGCCCTGGCCACCAGGAAACGTCGAGCGATGGACCAAAGGACCAAGGCCGGGTTTCGTCATGGCTTGAACCAACTGCCCTACCTCGAAGTGGACTCTCCCAGAGCTTTGGGAGCTCGTTCGAGAGAAATCAAGGGGCCCTGGACGGTGCATACCGAGCAGCACGTTCTCACCAGTGATGAGGTCGAACAATGTCGTCTTGCCGGTGCCGTTGCCACCCACCACCACCCATTTCTCACCCTGACACACCGTCCAGTTGAGCTTGTCCAAGACACGGACCGGGCCATACCTCGCGTTTTTTGGCACTTCAATGCTCCGGCGCGCAAGAACAGGCAGGATGCCCCCAACAACTTGCTATTCAATGGTTTGTGAAGTGACCTGTGGTGGTCCCTATGTTGGAAGCATTTGACATTGAGGGGATGGCTGGAAGTAGTTTCGTTGATCTTCAGTTGTCAAGATGTCTAGCGAGACGGACAATACATCCATTGTCTTGAATGTTGACCCACTCTGCCCAACAACTCTTGGGCACGTACATGACCTCTGCATTTTGCGTGTTGCCCAAGTTAGAAGCCTCCCTTGGTTATTGTCCATTGCAGATGTCTTGAAAGCTGGGGAGCACCCTTTCTGGATGGTTTAAGAGTCACTTGCGTGTCGCGCCCCCCTCTCTCGACTTCTGGCGAAGCACGGAACGTTGGGTACGCACTGTTTGTGGATTCCACCTGTTCCTGCCCCCGTCAGTGCTGCTCGTGCAATATTCTAGAGAGCTAAATCCGCAAAAGCCGCCAAGGAAGAAATCACAAACAATATGGGCATGTGTCACAATAGGGACACCAACTGCTTGTCCCTTTAAACCAAGGACAGGCTAGCACAAACCCATACGTACCAACCTGTTTACAATCGGAGTCCTCCGGTGAGTTTGGCTTTCGGTTTTGCTAGGATGGTCAAGGTTTGGATAGGCCCTACAATAATCCAGGTACCTATTTTAACCACGTAGAATGAACTTTAAGTAATATCCTCAATCCCTTCACCAGATAGAACCACTCAGGCTGGCCCTTTTGGAATCGCTCGCTCACGCGGATTCCGAGTGGCTCCAGAGTCACGTCCTTGAACTCAACCAGTGGCTCACCCACCGGGCCCTCGGATTGAGCGACATGGGACGTCTCCAGGGTATGTGAACCAAAAGCCGGAGGTGGTTGTCTTCTGGCTTCCCTTTAAACAAAAACCCAAACGGGAATTGCCCTAAGCTGTGTCACTGGTTGCAGTTTAAGTGGGCGCTAGCTCGAGCCTGGGAGAATAATAATCCAACCTGAAATCAAGAAAGCAACACAGGTCGGCATCCAATCCCTTGCTACTGCGTTTTGGCGTTTCACAGTAGACCCACGCGGTTTACCTTCAGAAACTCACCGATATGGGGGTGCCGACTTGGGGCTGTCTGCTTTTGAGGCCCGGTAACTGCCCTTGTTTGGCACCAGCGGTTTGGGGCGGGGGTTACAAAGCCCTATGTTGACACATGGCCCATTTAGGCAACTGTCATTGAAGCAACTAGTACTTCCTAGCGCGACTAGGTGATCCCGAGAGCTCGGGAAGGGAACTTCGGGTGGACATGTCCAGGATTTTGGCCACATTGTCCACTGACTTCCTGCCTGGGAAACACCCTTGATGCTTTGACATGGATACCAGGAAACCCAGAAAATCATTGGGGGGGAGGGAGCACAAATAAGCCCTAAATAAGGCCTTAAGGGCGCTTATCCCCCCTCCCTCCCCCCCGGCCATGAAAAAACACAGGAAACCCACCCCCAAAAATGGGGGACGGGGTTCCTGGTGATGGTGGCTTCAAGTGGGGAATCCCCCAAAGGTACTTTTGAAACACCCACGACCCACGTGCCTGCCTCAAAATTCGGGGACCCCCAAATTGGCGGTCGTTTCTGCTTTGTCTTTTACACAAACCACCCAAAAGGGACCGGCACCTCGGACCTTGCGAGGCGCTTGGGCGACTGGGCCGAGGT